AAGGTCTAGGATTCCTTACATGAATGCTCAATCACTGTCAATTTTACCTCAGTAAAGCTGGACGGAGGGACTGGAGAAATGATTCAGTGGACAGAGCACGGGCTGCTTTTCCAGGGGACTGGAGTTCAATTCCCAGCACCCACATGGTGGCTCACAGTCATTGGTAACTCCAGGGGATCCTCTGGCCTCCGTAGGCACCAGGTACACACATGGTGCACAGATATGCATGCAGGCAAAATACTCATACAGCATCAAATGAATCATACCAAAGCGATATTTGGAAACAAGTAAACAAAACCCCCAAACAACAACAAAAAGCTGAATGGGACAAAGGACAAAGGACTGAGTAGACGTGTTGCCGAAGAAATATATGAATGGCCAATGAGAGCGTAAGAAGATGCTCCCGGGGTTGGGAGAATGGTCCATGGGTAAAGTGCTTCCTATGAAAGTGTGAGGACCTGAATTCAGATCCCCTCCTGTGGGGTGTGTGTGTGTGTGTGTAAGCAGTCGATGTCAGGCGTCCTTCTCAATCACTTTTTACTTTGTATATTGAGGGGAGGTCTCTCACTTGGACCCCACCCACCAACTTGGCTAGTCTAGCCAGCCAGCTTGATCCAGTTATCCCCTGTTCTTGCCTCTCAAGCTGGGATTGCAGGTGGCTGCACATCCTCCTGATGTTCACAAGGGTGCTGGGGATTCGAACTCGGTTCTCACACTTGTGTGGCAAGTTTTTTACCCACTGAACCATCTCCCCAGCCCCAGTGGATGGCTTTCTCCTGTGGTCAAACCAACAGTATCACTTAAAAAGAGCAAAAATCTTGGAATCTCGATACATCTACAGTTAAGAATCAAATAATTCAGGGCATAATGGAAATACATGCTATTTTTAGATAGCAAGCTAAATATTGGCAGGCTTGAAGGCATTAGGGTCAGGCTCCTTCTCTCCCCCCATAACCATTGACTTGTAAAACCAAGAACAGCAGCAGCAAGACTCTAAATGGTTAGTGGATGGGATCTGAGTCTTATCACCAGCCGTGGGAAGGGACATGACATCCCGAGGGCTGTTAATTGATAACTATCTAAAACCAGTTCCAGGAATCTAAACATAAAGTTCCTACCTAGCCTCAGGTTTTCTGTGTCTTTGCTCACTCTCAAGAGTGCTGGTCCGAAGGTGCCTGTCAATCACTGGACAGGAAAGTGCTCCTCTAGAAAGCTGTCTGTTCTATAAACTTTAGAAATAGTGTAAACCTACCTAAAAATGGAGGTTAGCTCAATGCTCTCTCTGGCCACTGTCAGCTCTCACCCTGTGGAAGTCCTCTGCTCTTCACTGCTTCCTTACTGCTCTCTGGCACCCCTCAGGTGACCCCATGTTCTGTGATAAACTGCGTCCTTCTTCTACCCTACACTGTGTGTCTCATCGGCATGATTTTAACAAAGATCTCAGCGGCCCAGGAGCCGAGACTCTCAGAGTGGGAGGCCAGCAGCACTATGGGACTCCTTTAAGCTAAGCCAAGGAGTCCCCAGGGGCAAGGCCTCCTGGGACCTGGAGAGAAATGCACATTTTCCCCCTAAAGTTTAGCAACAGAAGGTAAGGAACACTGTATGGCACCTGTATGCCCGAGGTCCGCTTTATGATGTCACATTCTCAAACCGATGGTGACCGAGGCCTTAGAGAATTATATCTGCTACACCTAGCCCGTGCTGTGCCATGAGGAAGGAGAGAGACGATATTTGTGGGTTCCAGAGATTTTTATGATTCACCACATAAGCAGGTCACTGATCGATCAGGGCCGCAGGATAAGGACTCAGGAGCCTTGTTTCTCCTGACAGCCCAGAGCAGGGGCAGAAGCGGGGTTTATAAACACAAAATTCAAAAACTTTTGTTTCCAAGTTACAGTTACAATTTTCACCAGTCAGAAATCAAAGATTAGGGACTTTTCTTGAGTGTTTCATCGTTGTCAACCGACATACAACGCAAGCCTTTCAGTCCAACCAATCAGATTCATTTGTTCCTTCTGTTGTTAGGAACAGCCATGATGTTTCTAGAGAACTAAAGGTGTATAACGACTACTTCCATGGTTTAGGGAGGAAGTGGGCCAGCCATTGGAAAGTTCTCGGCTCCCATGGGGCTTGGGAACCTGAACTTTATTTCACCCTACAGGCAAAATGGAGTCTGAAGTCAAAATGTCAGTACTCAGGCCAAGGTGGTTTAGCCTGCTCCCTTCACATCAGGTCAATCTTTGGAATTCTTGCACAGCAGGAATTGTAAATGGGACTCTGTTTCTACAGCAAATCAAGAGTTCAACGAAATCCCACAAACATCAGTGATATCCTATGGCTTACCGTCTCCAGCATTTTGAATGAGGGGGGTGAATGACTTAAAGCATTATTTGGCTAAGTTAAATCGAGCCAGAGCGTTATTGCTAATTCTATGAAGAACTAAGATCGACTCCCTTTGGCAAGCATGTCTCTCCCTTTGAACTGATGCCTGATCTAGTGAGGGAGTGCAGATTTTCACTGGGTTACAACTGAAAGGGAAGCTTCGTTATTCCATGGGCTCATCACACCATCGTGTGGCCTTGTGGTGGAATAACAATCCTGAGGAGGTGTCTGGTGGATAGACTTAAAGACGGCATAACTTTCCAGCGGGAGGCAGGAGGATTGAGAGTTTGAGGACAGCCTGGACTACATTGCAAGGTCCCGACTCAAAAACACAAACAAAATAAAAAGTCAAGTGACTCAGTCCCACAGAATTTTTGTTCTGCCTGTGAAATCTCTTCACCTGTCTATAATGTTCTGACCTGAGTCTGTGGTTAATATTTAAAGACAACAGAACATTTCAAACCTTTCCCACAGATAGAAATAAGTATTGCTTGAATACTAAATAATACATGAACTATCACCTAACATTGGGTTTGAGAATGTACCAGTTGGGAGGAATTGTTAATTAATCAAACTGAGCATAATTATACTAATTAGATCCCATGAGACTCCAACTGTAAATCTTTCGGAGCTCTTGGAGCCTCTTAGTTTAACAAAACTTAAGACAGATCTAAAGATGAGGAAAAATATCTAGGCCAGAACAGTAGGATTGGTTTCTATGAAAGTCCAAAACATAACATAAGAGCCTGCTGGTCAAGCATGAGGACCTGAGTTCGATTCCCAGCTCCTACATAAGATCCAGCTGTGCCTGTAATCCCAAGTGCTGGACAGGCAGAGCCAGGAGGATCCCCGGGGCTGGCCGTCCAGCCAGGCCAGCTGAATCGGCCAACGTCAGGTTCTGTGAGAGACCCTGCCTCAAACACCAAGGAGAAGAGTAAGTGTAGAAGACAGCTAACATTGTCTGCATACACACATGCATGCATGCCCGTACAACACATGCATGCACATACACACACACACACACACACACACACACACACACACACACACACACACACACTTATCCTGTTTAAAAACTAGGAATTAGGTTTTTACTCTCCTAGGAGAATTAGAGATAAATATTCCGTTACAACTACTAATGTCAGTCTATTATTTACACACAGTGGGCTTTTCCATTACAGAAAATCATTACAGAAGGCTCAAACTAGGGCCATGGCTGGGGGCTGTGGAGTGACAGGAAAGATACATACTGTGTTGGACAGAATCAGAACCAGGGCCATCATTACAAATCTTTATACAAATACTGAGGAGGTAGCACAGGGGTCAGGAGAGCTGGCTGTTCTTTCAGAGGACCAGAGTTCAATTCCCAGCACCTGAAACTCCAGCTCCTTCTTCTGGCCTCTGAGGGAACTTAAAGATGTGCACACACAGCCAGGCAGTGTTGGCACACGCCTTTAATCCCAGCACTCGGGAGGCAGAGCCAGGTGGATCTTTGTGAGTTCGAGGCCAGCCTGTTCTACAGAGCGAGATCCAGGGAAAGCACAAAGCTACATAGAGAAACCCTGTCTCCAAAAACAAACAAACAAACAAAAAAGATGTGCACACACACTCATACACATACATCAAAAAACATTTTTTAGGGTTTTAGAATAACTTAATCCATAAATCCTCTCTTAAACAAAATATACTCTTTTTTTTTTCTTGCCAGATATGATGATACATGTTATTAATCCCTGTGTTCAGGAGGCAAAGGCAGGTGGGTCTCTGTGAGTTTGAGGCTAGCCTGGTCTCCAAAGCAAGTTCCAGGCCAGTCAGGGCTACACAAAACAAAACAAAATCATATCTGCTTTCTCTCTCTCTCTCTCTCTCTCTCTCTCTCTCTCTCTCTCTCTCTCTCTCTCTC